TATGTATGTATGTATGTATGTATGTATGTATGTATGTATGTATGTATGTATGCATGCATGCATGTATGTGCATGCATGCATGCATACACATACACACACACACACATACGCACACACATACATATATACTCTGTGTGAGTGTGTGTATGTATGAATATGTGTGTGTAGATGGATGGAGAGAGAGAGAGAGAGAGAGAGAGATGTACACACACACACACACACAGAGACACACACACACACGAACTGTAGTCCAATCCATGTAGAGGGCATAAAATCATGAAAGGTATGATTGTATCTTCAGTCTTCCAATGTAAACAAATAAGATACCATTGTAAACTGTTCAAACTATTCTGAAAAGCAATGTACTAGAACGATTAGTCATGAAGGCCAGCAATGGGAAACAAGGCAGTAAATATTAACTGTTGCTTTTAATGCCAACAATCTAGTCCTTTCTCTTCGAAACATAAAGGGATAGATTGCCAGCTCCAATGTTGCCTGGTATGCTTAAGAGACAAATGGGGGAAGTAAGCCATCTGGTGGTAAAAGAGCCGCATAACAGCAGAAAGTAAGAAGAGACATAATCAGACAAGAAACATGCGCTGACACCAGAACAGTTTGAAAAGCATCTTTAAGCAGAGAATCAATACTGTTTATTTCTTTCACAGTTAATGTAATGCAAATATACCATTGTTATAAATATAAAGAACCTAAAATTTCTGGTCTCATTCTTTTTAGTGTTCAATTTTTGGACCTTAAGACAATGTTCACAACAGTTCAGACAGTTAGTTTTGATGGTAAATGATTCTAACACTACCATAGGAAGTTTCCACAGATTACAAGATCTATACAAGGCCATTTCTCGGCCATTTCTCACCCATGTAAGCACATCAACTATAATGTACAAGTTATATTGTCACAACAGGTTATTAACTCTAAAGTTGAGAATTGGCCCAAACAACGTTACTTGTTGCATAGTTGACAAACAAAGCAGCAGCTATTTAGAAGATTTAAATACTACAATATTTAAAGGAAAAGAGGAAAGGGGCTTCTTGACCTTTATACCAAAACCTCTCACATTATGAAGACTCTACTGCAACTGCATTGGGATGTACAACGACAAAATCAAGATACAGATGAGTTGTGTTATGATTCAGTTAAAACATAATGTTGCCCATTCATTTTATTCTCCATCTCACGTAAAATGTTGTATATCAAAGAGTAAACCCATGCATTTTTCAGGAGCCACACTTGAAGCGATCTAGTTGCATTTTTAAACACCGCAAACTGTCTTATCACTTGCACCCAGAAGCATTAAAACTTTAATATTTCACATCATCCTGAGCCTTCAGATCAGTTTATGCATTCGTTTTCTATGCTGATTCCAAAAGTAATTTGATGTGATTACAGGTGTACGTGGATGTGGGAAGATAAGCACAGTCTCTGATGGAGGGCAGTGAAAAATTGCATTATGCCTCATGTTAATCTCACAGGCGCAAGTCCCCTTTATTGTACATTCTGATTTCACTGGAAATCGATCTCTGGAGCTACAATTCTTCTCCTTATTTTTAGAGCGTCATTTTTGAAGGGAAAGAGAGTATTTTAATAAGGAAGTATTCTTTGCAAATAAGTTTCTGTATAGTAATTAGGGCATGTCAAATTTTTCAACTTTCATGGATGTTGCATGCATGGATGTGCGCGCACTCAAATTTGCGGACCAGTAGGAAAGTAAGGGAATACCACCCCTGATCACAGTGGCCCTTTCATGCTCAATCAATAGAGAGATGTATGAAGCTGGTCACAGAGGCAGCAAGATAGTGTATACACATGAGAAATGTGAGGGTTATATCAGAGGCCAAGAAACATGGAGGCCGATGCCAAAGAAGAAATCCACACAAGACTTGATGAAACTCGCTTAAACATTTTTGTAACTCAGATAACTGTTTTCTGCTGTTAGTTTATGATTGCATGGATTATTTTTTGCTTAGCTAGATAAAATTCATGCAGAAAAAAAACCTTTAATTTTTGTAGCACAAGGTAATTGTGCAAAGTAATTTTGAGAAAATAAAGGTAACAGTATTTTGGGGGGTATTTGATCAGACATGCATTTACCATATCAAGCTAAATGTTGTACAATTGCAAAAATAGCAGCATATTTGAATTCTTGGAGTAAAAACACATATTTTTTTAGAACCCCTAATTAAAAAAAATGCAAAAAATAATTTTCACCCCATGAAATGACAGCCCTACAGTGCATACCATCTTTTTCATTGTCTCTAGAAGGGCCTCAGATTATTTTTCATATGCATAATTTCTTCCTCTTTTTGGAGAAAAGTAAAGACAAACAATATATTGTTTGTGCATACAAATTTAGTTTTCTGTGTACCTATCAGTCTACTTCTTTCACAATTGTAGCAATATTTTGCCATTCCATATTTCTACCTGAAAGTTGGTATCTTCATGCCAAAAGATAATCTTTCCATTTTTCTTTGCTCTCCAATATTATTTTAGTTGAACATGCTTCCAATTTTTCATAATGCATGTTAGAGCAATGCTCAATATTTCATATGGTGGAATCTCCACTAATAAGTTATAGTATCTTCTAGAGTTTTCTAACCATAACCGGACTGATACAGCAATAGCTTATAGGCTTATATACTACCCCATAATTTGCAGTATTCTCTGGGCACTTTACAAGGTGCATTATTTGCATATTGACCTCAACAATCTGAGTCCTCATTTTACCAACCTTATAAGGTTGAGTCAACCTTGAGCCCCATCAGGATCGAACCACTCCACCACCAGGGCTCATTCTCTCCAATATTGAGAATAGGCATTGTATCACCTCAATGAAGGCCACTTAAAGCAAATATTTATTTTAGATTTTTGTACCACTTTTTTCCTAGGAACTAAATATGGCTTTTCATAGCACTGTTCTTTTTCCCCCTGCGAGGTGAGTTGGGTACAAGACAGCAACTGGCTGAAAATCAGCCACTGAGTTTCCATGGTGGAGGGTAAACTCAAAACCAGTTTCTCCGTTCTTAGTACTTTACCCACTATATCACACCACAGCCATTTTGTTCAGATTATTAAGACTGATATATTACTGAAGAGAACAACTGGGTTTACAGCAGTACTCTGGGAGTTCTACCATAGATCATTGGGAAATGCTGAGCTGGTTTCTTTAGCTGTTTCTTCACTATTATAAAACCAAAAGGACATTATAACAGTGAAAGAAGAATGGGGCTTCAACTAACCTATGGCTCACAGCAGTGGTTGGTTTCAAATTTTTTTTAGAACCTCTTCTGTAAGTGTGGCCTGCTTTGTGGAAGTGGCTTGCCAGCCATGTGTCCGGGTGGGAGTGGCTTGCCAGTCATGTGACCGAGTGGGAGTGGCTTGGCAGTCATGTGACTGGGTGGGCATGGCCAACTTGTAAAATGTGGTGAAACTCACTTAACAACGCTCTTGCTTAGCAATCAAAATGTTCGCTCAGAAACTCTGGCATTTGAAGCATGCAAGCCTTAAAGCTGTCAAGTTCCAAGACCCTTGCACCCCTAATCCTTTAGAAAAAAAACCAGGGGTGTTCAAACTTGTCAGCTTTAAGACTTGTGGACTTCAACTCCCAGAATTTCTCCTCTCACTCTTCATCTTGATGATGTGCGGACGGGCGGGAGGAGGGAGCTGGAACTAGTTCTAAACAGCACTGTAGATTTGTGGAACCTCTTCTATAGAAGAGGCTAGAACTGGCAGGAACCCAGCTTCTTTGTCACGATGGGTTGCTAACTGATTGAGATGGATATTCTGGAATTAGTTAGGAAGAGACAAATTCCCTTCTCAGCCCTTGTTGCACTAAGCACAGTTACACGTATGTGTTCTTCAGAAATCTTTGGTTTGAGACCATGTATTGATCAAATACATCAAATCTCATTTAGCAACAATTCATAGTTATGACGGTACTGTAAAAGTAGCTTTGTGACATTTACAGGTTTGTAAAGGAAAGCTGAATTAAGATTGTAAGCACAGTTGTGGGTTCACTTAGCAAACACTTCACATAATACTGAGTTGTGGGTCCCAAATGAGATCACTGAATGAGGACTATTTGTAATGCTGAAGGTGCAGTAATTATCCTAGATTACCACAGGAACCCTTCTTTTCCAATATTTGGAAGATCCCTTGTCAGCTTTAGATCAAGAAATACCATCAAAATTATAAGTAGCTTATGTACCTACATTCCTTCATATATATATTTTTCAATAAATATGGCACAAATTCATTCTGATTTTCTGAAACTGAAACTCACAATATTCCAGAGGACTCCTAGCCTCATTGTCAGCCTCTTTGCCCATTGAATGTCATGAAAGAAAAAGGGAAAAAGAGGCAATGAAAACGTAGCTGACTTCTAAACCAAGCATCTCTTAACAGTTGCATTTACTGAGCTGGAAATGGCCAAACCCATCCAGGTGGTCGCGGGGGTAACATGGCCAGGTGGTTGGAAGGCACGTAGCCCTTCTGTCCATTCACTTCCACTAAGAACCATTCGTTGCTTCCCTTTTTATCATGAGGTTCCAGCACAGTCACTGATTGGCCTGCTTGCAGACTGACTTCCTGGTTGCTCCTGGCTGTGAAGGGATAAGCAGCACTTACCTAAGAAAAACAGAAACACAGAAACAAAAACACAGTTTTAATACTGGGTATGATATGATTTTGGTCATTACATTACAGGATAAGATACCAAAAAATTAAAGAAACATGGACAGCTCAGTCCTATCCAGATAGCCAAAGCAACTTTTTGGGGGTGCCTTTCTGCAAACATCCTGAAGAAGTAGAAATTCATTCTGAAATTTATGACAAGTAGCCACGACCAGAACAGGTATCTAAATTTGTGGTGTTATACAGGACACAAATGAGCTACCAATCCAAGACACAAGAACATCTGATTGTCAATTGTCAGCCTGCAGACAATGGTACGTTTGAAACTGGTGAGGCAGAAATCTCTCATTTTTAGAACCAGAAAAAACCATACTGTAAATAAGAGAGAAGAAGCAGAATCTTTCAAAGCCAAGAGAAAAATAGTGAAACAAAAAAAGGGAGAGAAAGAGCCAGAATTTAAACCTTGAGACTAACATATATAAAGAGCCCGGTTCCTCCAGAGCGTTGTTAAATGAATTTTCTTGCCTGTATGGCTTCCTAATGTTCTGCAGAATGTGGACTTACAGTATGTAACCTGGTTGAATTTGTGTGGTGAATGCTGAGCAGTAAGAGGCATGAATGAAAAGAAAACAAATGGAAGTAGTGATAGGCATATAGAATTGTGAATTATTCAACTCAGTTCTGGATACTAGGCAAGCTCACAGCAAACCTAAAATAAATGTCCAGACTGAGCCTTGGAATGCAGTTTGTGTCAGCCCCGGACGCATTTTTCTCCTGGCATCTTCAGGGCTGCCACAGCGGAGGCTGGTTGAGCTGTGGGAACAGGAGGGGAGGGGGATGTAGAGATAGCAAAGGGATTGTAACCAAAATAAAATTCCTTCCTCTGAGAACCAGGACGTTCCCACCAGGTGCAAGAAGGCGGGATGTGAAGCCAGATGAACTTTGGACTGTGACCCAATTCGGGCCATGTGATGGACTGCATGGGCAGGGGGAGGAAAAATGTACTTTTAATTAAGGGGTAACCCAAAAGGGATTTTAGAGTCGGGTTTCCCCAGATGTGCCAGTATGACCTACCTAATAAATCCAAGCTTTGAGGAGCATGCCAGTCTTGGAGTTTTGATTCTGTTGGGGAGGGGGGGGGAGTTACTTGGAACTTTGACATTAACCCAACTCTTGACAGTTTACAGTGGGGAGTTTCCTAGTGGTGCTAGGAGAGAAAGGGCAACATATAACCCCCACTAAAGAAGTCCTTCCGGAACCAGACAATACAAAGAAAGATCTTCAGGGAGGAAGATCTAGCTTGGCTCTGACCACATTCCCTTTGGGGGCTTTCAGATTGGGCATTGCTCCCAGGCACCCATCTGAGAGGTTAGTGGAAAAAAGTAGAGTGGAATCTGGAACTATTCCCTCTGATGTTTTCCTAGGACCGTGCCCAAAATGTGTGTTGTCAATGAGGGGCCCTTTCTATGTCGCAGGGCATTGAATAAGATGGAAGAGGAAATTGACATTCGCCCAGAGAAGCAGGAATAAGGTGCCGATTCAGGAGACAATCCTGCTTTGGTTATACTTGGTCTGGGTTCCACCACAAAACCGCGATACCCTTATCCGCGCCGACATAAGTGCAGAGGCAAATCCGCGGCGTCTGAAGAGCTAAGAAAAAAATGACCCTACCGCCGCGACAACAGCGCAGCGACAGAAGGGCGTTCTACATGCTTCGTTCTTTGCCTCCAAAGCAGCCCTCCTCCTCCAGCTGACAGCGGCAGTGGGCACGGGGCAAAGCAGGCTGCCCAGCAGCAGCAGCCCGCAGGAAGGGTCCAGCTCAGTCGCGGGGGGCAGCAGGAAGCCCGAGCGGGGCCGCCGACACCGGCGGTGGAGGAGAACGCGGCAGTGGCGGCGGCTGAGGCTCTCCCGGGGCCGGCGAAGCGGGCTTGCCCGGCGGAGGCAGGCCGCCCTCTTCTTCCTCAAAAATATCTCCTTGGATGGGCGGCTTCCGCCGCCGGCGCCTCCCCCGGAGGAAGAGGCAGGGCGGGCGGCGGCGGCGGCTGAGGCTCTCCCGGGGCCGGCGAAGCGGGCTTGCCCGGCGGCAGCCGCCGCCTGTCCAAGGAGATGTTGTTGAGGAAGAAGAGGGCAGCCTGCCTCCGCTGGGGAAGCTTGCTTTGCTGGCCCTGGGAGAGTCTCAGCTGCTGCCGCGGCTGCATCCTCCTCCGCCGCCGGTGTCGGCGGCCCGCTCAGCCCCCCCCCCCTGCAGGCTTCCTGCTGCCCCCCGTGGCTGTGCTGGACCCTTCCCGCGGGCTGCTGCTGCTGGGCAGCCCGCTTTGCCCCGTGCCCGCTGCCGCTGTCAGCTGGAGGAGGAGGGCTACCTTTGGAAGCAAAGAACAAACCATGTAGAACGCCCTTCTGTCGCCGTGCTGTTGTCGCGGCGGTGATGATGCGCGGTGATGGCGTCGCGGCTTTAGCGACGCGATTTAATCTCCGCTATTTTGCGTAGCGCAGTTTTGTCGTGCCACGCTTGGTCTGTTTCAGGAAACCATGGGATTTGGTTTTAGACAAAGATTTGAGAACCCAGTGAGCTGTTATTTTGATTTCTCTTTCTTAACAATGCACCTCTGGTAACTGCACTTTTCCTCCCTGTCCTCATGATGTTGTCTTCATCTTATCCACAGCCAGGCTGCAGGGAAGAGTCTTTTGTCTGTGTTACTCCTGACTGGTACTTTCCAGGCCTTATCCAGATTCCTTACAAAAATATATTATATCAGGGGTTGCCACAAAGAAGAGGGAGTCAAACTATTCTCCAAGGCAACTGAGGGCAGAACAAGAAGCAATGGATGGAAACCAATCAAGGAGAGAAGCAATTTAGAACTAAGGAGAAATTTCCTGACAGTTAGAACAATTAATCAGTGGAACAACTTGCCTCCAGAAGTTTTGAATGCTCCAACACTGGAAGTTTTTAAGAAGATGTTGGATAGCCATTTGTCTGAAGTGGTGTAGGGTTTCCTGCCTGAGCAGGGGGTTGGGCTAGAAGACCTCCAAGGTCCCTTCCAACTCTGTTATTCTATTCTATTCTATTCTATTCTATTCTATTCTATGGCTTTATTGCTCTTCTAAAGAATATTTCACCTGCTGTTCTTGAAAAAAAGCCCTTGTTGTGTGCTGCAGAGATTGATTTAAATGGGGAAGGAATGCCAGATACTACATATTATTCAGTGTTGCGGGTTCTGTCCCCATTGGGTGCCTTGCAGATTTTCTGTTACTTTTACCAGTAAGAGTTTCAGTAAGAGCACCATTTACTATTATCATTTTGGGAAGTGGGTGAAAAACAATTTTGTTCATTCCATTTTGGATTCAGCAGCATTAGGTGATGATATTATGTATGCCCAGACCAAGCTCCCTTGCATGCTTATATGGCTGCATACTAACACTATCTTGGTGCTGCCAATCACAAAATTAGAGCTGGATTTCTTGCTCATGAATGGCCCCTATTGCTGCTCATTCTCCTGCTTCACCTCGTGCTCCTCTTCTGGGCCTCTTACCTTTTAAATGAGCTATTGTAACTATGGACCTAGTCCTTTCTCAGCCCCTGGACTGAAATTCAAAAGCAGTTCATCTGAGGAGTCCAGAGGACAGACATTCATAAAATGGGAGTGAGCTTCTCCCAATACAATAGGATTAACTTTTAGGAAAAGAACCTTATTGCATTCTGGTTTGGTGGCACTGGGTGATGACTCATTACTGTTACAAAATTGTACGATAGTTTCCTTCACTGCTCAATGTTCCCAGAACCAGTCTCTTGAAGATGCAGTTCCTATAACAGTCTCTGCAATGCACTGCGATTATTTATGTTGTTTGGGGGAGTGCCAATTTGCCTACAACACTATAGCCTTAACAGCACTAGCTGCCAGGATGACTACAGTTGCTCTATACTCATATGGATGGACCAATTACAGTGATGGCAAAAGTCCACTGTAGTGAGTGTGTTCGCCATAGAGGTTGCTGGTATACTAGTTGCTGAGCTGCTCTGCAAGTTCTTGGATTTCATCTTGATGTCTTGTGGCAGTTGCTGGAATTCTCAAGGTTTTTATTCTTGGATGAATTTGACCTTCATATCTTGGGAGATGAGTTTGGTGTAGCTCTTTGGTTTATTTGGGTGGGGGGGAGGGTTTGAAGCTTTATAATTAGTTTATCAAAATATAAATTCAAAAAAGTAAGGAAAAATTAGGAGGGGTGGGAGAACAATATGGTATAAAGAGGGAAAAGAAAAGAGAAAGGCACTGACTTCTGATTCTTTTTAGCACAGTGGAAGATAACAACATTAAACCACAACTTTTTACTTTTACACAACAGCATGCACAAGCCATTTCTATAACAATACACCATCTAATTAGAAAAAACAAAATCATTCCCCCCCCCCACTGCAAGCATAAAATCTGGAAGCAATTTCAAAATAGAAACAAGGTTAGATATATTCTCTTCTTGGGATAAAAGAATCAATTTGACCGTGTCTGTTTCTCTTTGCTATGGGGAATAATATATGCTCTTGTTAACTCATTAATCTTTATTGTAATTCATATTAAGAGAATTCTCTATATTATTTCAATTTTTTTTTTAACCCTAAAGGGACAAAATTCAAATCCCACAAGGTATCCAGATGGCATTTAGGGGTAGTATTCAGTCGGTTCTCTCCGGTTCGGGCAAACCGTTAGTGGCAGCTGTGAGAGGCTCCGCCCACCTACCCCAACATAATGCACAAGCACTGTGCATGCGCTCACATTTGCGAACTGGTAGGGAAGGTAAATGAATCCCACCGCTGGGTGTGCCCCACAATTTGGCAGACTGTTACATCTCAATCCTGCAGTCAATCCTTAGAACACAGAGGTAGCAAGAGATGATGGGATTACTCCCTGGAGGCTTTCCCACAATTATTAATTAAAATTCCTTAGTTTACTAGAGAACTAATATAAGTGGAGTGATGGAAAAGAGATCTAAAACAATAAAGGTATAAAACCAGAAGCAGATAACACCAAACATTAATGAAAGTTCATATTTCAGCCTACACAATAGTGATAAGAACTGCAATGTGGCAGTTCTCTCTGCACTTATTTCATCTTGTGCTAAAGATTCATGCTTGTGCTAAATTACAACCTTTTAGAGAAAGGTGAACAGGACAAAGTCACTGCACACATACTGGATGAATTTGCATATTTTTTGGAAAGTGGTGTCACTTGATAGGGTTTTCAGTACTTTTAGTGTTGCCAGTTGTGATTTGAATTCAGGCCTCTGGTGGGTTTTTACCAAGCTGCTTTTTGCAATGCAGAAGTTCAATTTTTACTAAACTGCGCATTTGCGCATAGTGCGCATGAAGTGAACCGATTGCTCAGCCGGTAGGAACCCACCCCTGATTCAGGCCCTTCTCTGCCCTTTCAAATAGCTAGGCAGGACATGGATAGCTGGATCCAGGAAGTATTCCATGTTTCTCCAAGGAAGGAAGTAATGCCACCTTACTTTGAAAGTAGTTGACATTCCTGGGCATGGCTATGTTTAATTAATTTTCCCCGGGGTTCAACGTCCCTGTTTTAAATAATATAGTTGAAAGATGGTGGGGAAATCATAGGGCCATCATACAAAAGATCTTAGAGGAAAGAAGCTTTCTAGATCTTTTCCAGTTCAATTCTAGTTATGAAACAGAAATGGTGAAATATTAGTCATGGTGATGAATAGTTTTCATTCGGAATTCATGCAGACTAAACTTTTCAGGGCCCTATTAAAACTTTGACTTCCAGCTCCTACACAAGCAGCAAGTGAATGCCCAAGTCTATCTGATGCCTCTTATGATCTTATGTATTGTTAGACATAATCATATAAACTAATCCTTCATATGGCTGCTATATCTTATCAATCTTTGTTTTGGTTTTCATTGCTCACTACATGTGCCGTATTTTTCGGAGTATAAGACGCACCTTTTTCCCCAAAAAAGAGAGGGTAAAAATCTGGGTGCGTCTTATACATTGAATACAGCATTTTTGGCTTCCTGAAACCCCGCCCCCTTCATAAAAATGGACATACAGAGGGTTTGGGAGACCTGCAAAGTTCTCCTGGAGGCTGGGGAAGACAAAAATGAGCGAAAAATGGATGGGTTTTTGCTCATTTTTGCCCCTCCCCCAGCCCCCAAGAGCACTCTACAAGCCTCCTAAAGGGTATGCATGCTCTTTTGGGGGGCAAAAAATGGGCTTGTTTTCATGAAAAAAGGGCCATTTTTGGCTCATTTTTGCCGCCCCCCCAAACCCCAGGAGCACTTTGCAGGCCTCTTAAACTCTCTGCATGCCCCATTTTTCACAAAAAATGAGGCATGCAAGGGGTTTGGGAAGTCTGCAGAGTGCAAAAACGTTTTTTTAATTTTACCTCTTCAAAATCGTGATGCGTCTTATACTCTGGTGCATCTTATACTCCGAAAAATACGGTATATTTCTTAATTTGACCAACACCTTGCCAGTTCCCAAATCTGACCCACACTCATGTTTCACTTTATAAATGTCTCAAGGATGAGTCAACATATCTGGGCTATTCCATATTTAAATCCATTGGAGATCCTATTTCCCCACTACCTGGGGGTGGGGAATTACTTTAGAGGTATGCCCAATTTTGCATCCTGAAATGGCCCTGATAAAATATAAATCAGCATAACAGGATAGCAAATGCCATCATCTGCCAGTCTCCAGCCATAAATTCACTGCCTGTACACAATCGGTACTATTGTCCTTGAAAATCAAAGCAACAAGAAAGACTAAGAAAGGAGTGGCTGAAAAACTTGTACTTTACTCACCTGTAAAACTGGAGTGCTGAAGTACGCTGGGGGATTGGGAGTTTGGGGTAAGTTGTAAGGAGGAGGCATTTTCCCAGCAGTATTGCCCTGGGGCACCGTTGTTGTTCTGGGCTTTGAGCTGGGGGCGTAATGGTACCGTTGTAGCTTTCCAGGTGAAATGTAGCCCCTTGGACCTGCATAGTACATAAGACAGGTAGGGTCAGGCTGAAGGCTAGACTGCTGACAAGAAGCAGGATGTTCCCTTGTTGTTTATCAGCTAGTAGCAGATGGCTGTACTGCAACGCCAATGAAAGTGGCATGAACTTGACATAATTGGAAAATAATGGTGTAGAAATAACGATTGATATAAAAAAGAATGGACAAAAAGGCAGCAATTATTGTAGGAAAGAAGAGAGGATGTGTGGGATGTACTAATGAAAGGATGTGATTTTTACAAGAGTTTTTGGCAGGATGTAATCTGTCCTATTTTAAAATCAAGGCCAGGAGGAGATATTTTTGAATGCATTAAAATTTTACGTTCATATAAAAATCCTAATGATACAGCGACAATGCCTAACCTTTTAACTATGGCTATAGAAGTAAGGTTTTTATTGATGTATTAATGTATGTGTTTTAAAATGTTTAATATAATATCTATCTACTTATTTATCTCAAACTGTTTTATTTTATACTAACCCTTTTTATTGTACTGTATCTGTACTTTCTTATTTGTGTCTTTCAACTTAATAATAGCACTTAGCAATAATGCTTAGACTTATGTGCTGCTTCACAGTGCTTTGCAGCCCTCTCTAAGTGATTTACATAGTCAGCACATTGCCCCCAACAATTTGGGTCCTCATTTTACCAACCTCTGAAGGATGGATGCCTGAACCAACCTTGAGCCGCTCAGAATCGAACTGCTGGCAGTTGGAAGAATTAATCTGCAGTACTGCATTCTAACCACTGTACACCGCAGCTCTTGAACTATAATATTTTGATATTATGTTATGTTATGTTACGTTACGTTATGTTACATTATGATGTTATGCTAGGCTATGCCATACCATGCTATATTATTATTACATTATATTATTATTATTATTATATTATATTGTTATTACATTATATTATTATGTTGTTGTTGTTGTTATAGAAAGGCAACAAGATGAGTGGGAAAGATGACCAAAACTAGCACAAATATGATGAATGGAGACAAGAAGGGGAGATATAGAGCTATAGGGTTAGAATGAGTCCTGGAAAAAATTACACTGTAGGGAAAATATAGAGGAAGAGGTGTTTAATATAGGAAAAGAAAGGACAAGAAAAAAAAGAGGAAAGGAACTGGTTGCAATATGAAGGCAGAGAGAGAGGTACAAAAGTCAATGTAAAAGAATGGTAGAGAAGAAAGAAAGGGCAATTTGGACTTTTGCTCCAACTTTAGGCAAAGTTCAACCATGGGACAGACAACCTTTAGTTCAGTTAGTGATCTTCTAGATGCTGAAAATATTTCTCTTCCTTCACCTCTCTGTGTAGTTACTCCCCAGCCCTGCAATTTGAACAAAAGCTGTCTCATTTTCTGCCTAACAGGACAATGGTACAATTGTTGAGGCATCTCTCCTGTTTTTTTTTTGTAATTACCTAATACATGCAAAATCTGGTAAGGGAATTTACAACAACTCTTGGGATACTTGAGTCCAGCTATCCTACCATCACTCTAGTTTTCCTCCTGACATTTGATTTTCACTATTCAGAGAGCAAGCAACTCTCTCTTTCATTATAACCATTTAGCAAGTATACAAAGATATATTTTTCCCCTATCACCTAGTTGTTCAGACAAATCAGCACACAGCCAGAACCTCAGCGACACAGGATGATATGAAACAGCCGACCAATCTACAAACATCAACTCCATCTACCAATCAGGATGCAACTACACAGCCAATCAACCTACTTACAGCAACAAAAGCAGCACTCCACCACCCCCCCCCCAAGATTTATAGAAAGATGGCAGCTCCGACCACACTTTACTCGCACAAGCACGAAGCCGAAAACACCAACCTGAAGATGGCGAGTGGGACCTCGCCGAAATGTTGTCAAGACAATCTCAATCTTACATGGGAAAAGACCCAAATACAACAAGACCAGCATACCTACACCCGTGAAAATCTACGAAAACACACACACACATACACACACACACACTATATATATATATTTGCCAAAGGAAGAACTGCAAATTCCATTTTTTCCCTCCTACATTAGCTAATCAGACTATCAGATCACATGTTACATGAGCAATAGCACTCTATAATAATCTTCCCCAAATTGCTGAACTCCAGATCTGATGGACTAATAATTCCCCTGATAACCAGCTAGAGATTTGGGAGTTGTAATCCAACACATCTGGAGCTCACCAGATTAGGCTCAATGAAATCTTCTGTGGTTATGGTTTAAGCTTCTTATCTGATGCAGTAGGGATGTAAGAGATATCAGACGCAGATTCATTTTACATCAAAAGGCTACACTTCATCAAAGACTGTTCTGCAGCCAGATCAATTCACTCACCCCTTCTTTTCCTTCTAAAAAAGTTCTAAATGCCAATGTGTATTTTGTAAAATAGTCCTTTTGTACCATTTGAATTTATAGGTGCATCTTTCCACAAGCCTCCATCGCTTAAGGACTCATTGCAATTAATGCATGTATAATTCAAAAATATAAACCATATAAACCAGGTAGGTGGACCAGATTCTATACGAAACAGCATATATTGCAATACAGCTATACAACTCAGCCATCATGGGATTTTGATGCATAAGCCAAATACAAAAATATTTTGATTACAAACAACTGCCTTCAGTTGAGTTCCACTTTTATTTATTTCAGGGTATATCCACATACAGTCATGTGAAGAAGAAAATACATCCCATTGTATTCTATGGTTTTACATATCAGGACATAGTATAAACCACCTGATCCTTAGCATTTTTTAAAAGTTGGCAAATCCAGATGAACAACAACACATGACGTATACCATGCCATCATTATATTTTACAAGCCCCGGGGGGATTCCTGGTAATCTCCCATTCAAATATTGTACAGATCTGAACCTACTTAGATTTTTGAGATAGATATTTCAAAGAACCATGGAATTAAAAAAAAAAACACGCAAGTACAAAGAAAAAAGAAAACATTGCTTTTCAAATTTCACAAAACAGAATAATGTGTGCCATTCATTCAGACTGGGTTTAGACTGATCAGACCATCCCAATTTACCACTTTTGGTAACAAGAAAATAGGTCCTTGGTGCTCCTTGAGCTTGCTTATTTTCATGCAGAGTTGATGATGATTACCTACTTTGGGTAATGAAACATCTTCAAGGAAACCACCAAGCTCAGCAGTGGTGGGTTCTGGATCCCAGTACGGTTGCAACGGGGCCCGACATCCACCACATGAATGCGCGCAGTGTGCACAAACACACATGGATCCTTACCTCTTGCGACGCCTCCGCGATGCCCCAGCTGCTCGGCGGAGCGTTGCGCAGGCACTGTGCCCTTTGTGCATGTGCGCGGAAGCGCCAAAGAGCTCAAATACAGGTAAGGAGTTCAGGTAGGCAGGCAGGTGGGCCCTTCAGAGCACCATACTAGAATGGTACCTTGTGCTCCGGGCAGGCACCGGTATGCCCATACCAGGGAGTACCACCTGCAACCCACCACTGAAGCTCAGGGAACACCAAGGATGCCTCATTTCAATCCCGAGCTACATACATTCTCCTTTATTGGTACAAAGAAAAGGGTTCTGGGTGGTTGCAACACTAACAATACCTCCTGAATCAACCAGCCATCGGTTTGTGTTGCCCTTGGAGTCCATGCCATGCAAAAAAGCCACTATCTGCCCTCTCTGCAGAGTCAAGTCCATGTCTTTGCAGCCACCGGTGTCGCTTGTCACCTGGTACAACTTATCTGGGCCATGTTTGTTCAGAAGCAAAAGGACCTTCTTCTCCTCTGCAGAGCTAAGAGGCTATTGAAAAGGTAGAAGGAGAAATGAGTCAGAAATATATCCCCTGTGGAAGAAATAGGCTGCTGTGTTTTATGCACTTATGCATGAATCATAATGAACAAGGTGCTAATGCATCTAACCAAAAATATCCTAGAACAAGGTGTGATAAATGATAGTCAAAACGTATTTTGCACGCTAAGCTTCAGAAAACAGAGAAAAAACAGGCAATTCTGCAAATGAGGCAGAGTAGGACTGCAAGAAATCAGGCACTGGGAAAAGGAGAGGGAATATTATTTCTATCTGCTTCTAATACTTTCAGTTCTATTTCTTCTACAGGGCCAAGAGCAATACATTTGCTCGAGACAGCTGCTGCTGAATCTCAGTGCTACAGCCTTTCAAGCAATCATACTAAACTAAGGTCAACTTCTCTGAAAATTGTCAGTAGGCTAAAATAAAACATGCCTAAATTACATTTTAAAAAAACGCAAAGCATAATAACTGTCTAACTTGTTACCCTTCCATTGCTGGGGATGCAAATATCTAGAATCTACCGGATGTTTTATGTGTACAATTCTCAAATTATAAAGTTTAAGCAATATGGCCAGTAATTTCTTTAATGGCAAGTCATTTAAATCTACTGCAGTACAAAATCAACTGACTAAGATTATCTGCTTTATCCTTCCTAATGCTTCTATTGGCCCTGAGATTGTTTTGGAATTACTACTAACTAATTTTGTTTAGTCAGAAGTCATTACAAAACCATCCATTGGCCTACAATTTATACTAAAACCATCATCCGCTGCAGAAATCATTTCTATATACACTGCAGCATATATGGGTCAATGACTCAAAAAAAAGATCTTAAAAGCGTTCGTACACTTTTCTCCTAAAATGCATACAATGCACAAATAGGTTGTCTAGTAAAGATGTCTGAGTGCCTTAATGAAAAATGTGACAGCATAAACTAAGACCCATCTTGAGTTCTTCACAAAAGGGTAAAGCAAACTCTCCAAAGACGAGCAAGCCAGCCTTTGAATTATTCACTTCCCTCACACTTAAATTCCAAGTTTATACACAATCCAAGAGTCCAAATATCACAGAACATCACTGGATAAGACTTAGAAATCACCTGGAATTACCACCTGCTTCTTCCATCCCCATGCCAGATATTTATGAGTCAACTAGCCATCAGTCAACTGAGGAAATTGTGCACGAGTAAACACCCCCCCCCTTTCTTGGTTTTCCAGTAGCATCATACCTGCACAGCGGGGTTTGGCAAAAGAGTATCAAACTTCTCCTGGAGAAAGTACAGCTGATCTTCTGCCTGTTTTAAAGTATCCATTACCATTTTCCAAAATTCAGTTGCAGAGAGATGTCTATGGGGCAGCTATAAGAGTAAGCCTAGAATTAGATGACTGAAAAAGAGTATGTGTAAAACAGTTGTAATTTTCTTAAACTTTGTAGTGGGTCCCCTGCTTTTTATACTCTCCATAACAGGCTGCACAGCAGCACAAAAATATTTTTAGGAATGGAGTGGGATTTCTGTGTCTACATGGAAATGCTACATTTCTTTTCTTCAAGGATATGCCTATTAGTTGCATGCAGGGAGAAGCAATCGAATAGAAATCTCTGCTTACCTGGAGAATCTCCCCTTCTGCCTCTTGGAGGACTTGCTTGGCCAGATCCCTCTGAAGAGTCACGAAAGAACACAGGATGCAGGTCAGCCACTTCAGGGCCACCTGGTTGAATGTAGGAAGCTCAGATACAAGCAAGGAGTTAATGCCAAGATAGGTATTCATCATAGCCTCCTCCTCATAGGTCACACTGCCCGTCTCATTCCTCTTCTCCTCATATTCCTCATAGTCGAGCAGCTTATCCGATCGCTTCTTGATCAGATTCTGGGGTCCCTTCAGAGTCTCTGACAAGTTGCACAGCGGCTTATATACCAGGTGCTCCAGCCTCTGCTTCTGTAAAGGAAGAGATGCAGACTTTGTCTCAAATCTTGACCTCCTTCTTTGCTCTGTTCCGACGTGGAAGATCAGAAGCCTTTGGGCTGAGAGTCTCTGGTCCTTCTCCTTGCTTATGTGCCTAATATTTAGAGAAATCTTAGATAATCTAAAACAATCTCAAAGAACTTGCTTTGAAATTTTGGAATATATATGACATTAGGTTCCATTTCTCAGAAATTGGCTCATTGGGTAAGATGAAGATTTTTTTTTCCTTTGATAAATCATTGTATCCCACAATGATTTAACATCATTATTGTCTTCAGTTATGCCGAGACTACAACTCACAAAATCCCACTTTGCCTTCAAATGTGAGAAAGCAAAGCTATAATCAATCCATCCAATCCTTCCCTCTTCCCAAATTTGCTAAACTAGAAATGAAATGATACTTACATAGACAGGAAAGATGGTGCTGTGAAGCTTTTTTGCAAGGGAACAATATGGTTGGGTAATGTATGTTTCTATATCCAATTCATCTTCATGTGGTTTGAAACTAAGAAACATCTAAAAGATAAAGAAGTTAATCTGATAACCTAAAAACATGATTTTATCGGGAACATATCCAGTGATTCACATGAAATCAGTCTCTAAAATGCCATTATTATTTATTGAAAAGCAGTATTTTTCAGGTTAAATATGCATGAGTTATGGAAATAATATTCAATTCGATTAAAGGGGGGGGATATATGGAAGAAAGGCTTGAAAACTAAGCTAAATTTTAATTTTAAAGAATTTTTATAAAATTTATACATGACACCAGATAACTTGTCCAAAATGTATAAAAGCACATTTCAAATATTTGTTGGAAATGTAATCAAATAGTGTACATTTTTTCATCTTCGGTGGACCTGCAACAAAAATATTGGGATAAAATATGTATTTTGATGCAAATGGTTAAGTATACAACTGAGACTTTTCTTTTGGGCTTAATGGACAAACAAATGGAAACCTCTTCTGGAACGTTGTTTTTCCATATGATAAAGAAAACGAGAACTTTATATGCTCAAAGGTGGAAAGGCTTACAAATACCTGCAATGGAAAAATGGATGATGAAGTTGGTAGACTTGGTGGAGATGGCAAAACTGGTAGCCTCGGTTTTAAAAAAAAGACTTTAACAAATTTTATTTCTACTTGGAAACTACTTTGGATTTTTTATGGGACAGAAATGAAAAACTGATTTGGAGATTTGATGATTCAAATTTTGTGGGACCATCAAAATAATGCAGCAAGTATTAATCTTAGAATAAGAGTTTGATGCATGTTAAATATATATGTTTGTACCAAAGAAAGTCAAAATTCATTCTTTTTGTATTTTTTGATTTTTTTCTTTTCTCTTGTCCCCTTTCTTTTCTGATTTTTTTTTCAAATCTTTTTTCTGTTTGTTTATAGTTTACTTTGGTATTTTTTTAAAAATAAATAAAGTTATATACTTTTTAACTGCATGAGTTATAGCACACTAAAATAGGCAAAGGAAAAAAAGAATGCAGGAAAGAGATTGGAAAGAAGGGGAAAAGAAAGCTTTGGCTGGTTCCATAAAAGTTGGAAAGTGGTGAATTGTGATCACAGGTTAATATTTGCCACTGTCCACCTTTTATTATAGAAATAATAAAGGCAGGACACCAATCAAATAAATAAACATAGAGTCCGGTTATGAATTTTTGAAGTATTTCTACATCAAAATTGCAACTTACACAAAGAGTCAGTGAAAAAGCTATACACAAATATTATTAATTGGTGGTGGCACTTATGTTACGGATATTGCTGTGAAGTGTCATTCTGGGAGAGTCCTGGTCTCTGTGTACTGAGGTTGGAGTAAAAGTTTTGGTTTGGTATGACCATAAATTAATGCAAATGTTTCATGAATCTCCTCCCAAACTTTGCCTTAGTGAATCATTTTACAAATTCATCAGCAGATTTACATAGATGTTTCCATTGATCAGAGTCTACTTCCAATTAAATATTCATAAACATGGTAGTTTTCTGTTGAAGAATGTAGCTCTGTCTACAGAGAAGGCCTTGAGAAGGAGGTGGGAAATGGTTACTCAGCCTTGGAAAAGTAAAAAGCATAAGAATCTGAATGAGATAACCTCTCCCTTGACTTTATCCTTGAGAAAGGAGAAGGTTCTCTATAGGCTTTCAAGATTCTGTTAATAACATTGCAATAGCATAGCATTTAGACTTATATATCGCTTCTTTACAGCCTTCCCTAAGGCATTTACAGAGTCAGCATATGGTCCTCATTTTACCGACCTCGGGAGGATGGAAGGCTGAGTCAACCTTGAGCATGGTGAGACTCGAACTTCCAAATGGCAGGCAGGCGGCAGTCAGCAGAAGTAGCCTGCAGTACTACATTCTAACCACTGTGCCACCATGGCTCTTAATGAACCCTAAAAAGGAATTCTAACAAGTAGCATTGCTAGAATTCCTGCAGTGTCAGTTTCTTGGCCTGACCTACCTTGAACAGCTAACATCTCTCCATCATCTCAAAAAAAAAAAAAAATGAAAAAAGAAATTCACTTCAGATGTCTTTTAAGATCTACTTAATCTGTATGTTAAAAAAAACAAAATGTAAGTCTTTAAAATGTGCCTTGTGCAGGGCCGGATTTTCCTATAGGCTAACTAGGCTTCAGCCTAGGGCCTCAAGATCAAGAGGGGCCTACATTCAAATTG